TTCTGCCTCACTCTGTCGGCACTCTGCCATGACCTCCCCACAATAGCCCTCAAGGTGTGCCAGGTACTTCCTCCAGGACCTGTAAATAAAAAACTTCTCTATTTTAATTCTGCTTGTGGTCTGTTGTTGAACCACAGTTCACCATCTGACATCCCATGCTCCACTTAATAAGTGATAATTTAACAAATTCATAACAGAGGGATAGAAGAATTTACACAGAAAAACACTGTTAATATAACTTAACCAGAAAGACATATCATCTTCAGGAACTGGTTAGGACAAAATCCTGAATTTTCAAAAGTTTTCAGAACATGTTTACATAACCCTCACCCTTTTCATCCTGATCATTTATTCAGTAATCAGCCTGAAAAAGAACAATCTTTGTTTGGGAATTGCTACATTTAATAATCAAACTGCCTAACTAAGGAGAAAGGTAAGTAAAGTAGAATCAGGCTATCAGTCTGTCGTTGCAAATTTCAAATAATCTTGAAAGTCAGACATAAGTCAACAGCAATGAGACATTCCTGAGCAGCGGGTGAGAGGAGACCCCCCCTCTGTCAGGAGTGGTACCCTACATTCTGTGTTGTCTTCCAACTTAACAGCTTTCAATGGGAATCATACATTAGGTTCCTTGTGATCATTCATCTCAAATGCAATTAGCCCCTGCGTTAGAAATATACAGCCACTAGCAGCTTGGTTTCACATGGTCCCATCAGAGAATGAGCCCTTCCTAGTGGGTATCTACAGGTGACCCATGTGGTCCAGCCAGCATCCACAATGTTTCTGGCCCTACAGAGGGGTGTCTTAAGTCTTCAGTCGTCTTAGAGTCTGTTTGATTCATTTAGCCTATGTCTACTTTCCAAGATTGGAACTGTCTGTTACAGATGTTGTTAGGTTTCAGCATACCATCGGGTACAGGCAATTAGGATCTCTGAATTCAGGATTCCAAAAAGCCAATGACTTTTCTTTGACAGCAGCAAAGGTGAGAGACTACAGGTTAGACAGTGGTGTTCCAAGGCTTTTTAAGCCCCCTTTATCTTGTTGGACTTAGAGTTCAAATTGACCTACTCAAAAATATACACACTTAGTCTAGAAAATCACCAGCCTGTAAGAGTCAGACCTCTGATTTTACAGAAACTTATTATCAAGCTAAAAAACTACTTTTTAAACCTCAAAAACTATATTTTCCTGTGGAGAATATTTCTCTTTCTGTTGTCTGCCTTTTCTCATAGGGTCCAACAGGCAAAAATCATAGCAAAAATAATTAGTTATGAAGATTTCAATATTCAGAAGTTCAAAGAGTTTAAATTTTTAATCCATCCAAACAAGAAAGTTATGTTATATTAACACTTTTATTGGGAGACTTCACCAGATTAGAATAATCCTTCTAGACTTTATGAAATTACAAGCATATATTTTTTAATCATTAAAAAAATTGTATACCCAGATGCAATAGCCATAAAACAAAAAATAAACACATTTTAGAAAGTTTCTTAATCTTTCTTTCTTTTCTTTTTCTTTTTTTTTTTTTTTTTTTTTTTTTTTTTGTTGCAAGTTTACTCAAACCTTAGCAGTAAATTCAACACTTTTAGGGATTAACATTACAACTACTGACAGATCCCAGCTGGAATGCAACAGGCTGCTGCACCAGTGGGTAGATTGTTATTTTTCCCGTCTTCTTCTCCCGCCCCGTCTCTGTCTTTTTCCTAATTCGTGTAAAGTTTTCTCCAGCCTTGGAACTGACTTAATCTTATTTCCTCCCACTTGGAGGAGTGAACAATACAAACATACAACATTTTGGCTCACACAAAATGTTTTAAAGGAATGTTTGAACCCTTTCTCCTCCCACCTGAAGGACAGAACAAAACCTAAAGATGTCACTCAGCCTGCACTTTTTAATTCCTTCACCTTAGCTACCATGGCCGAAAGCAGCCAATAAACCCAATTCTCCTAGGGTTGGATCTATCATTTTTAATTCCATAGGTAACCTTCACCTTTCACAAGAGACATCATCTCCGCTGCTGTTTCATACCACAGGTGACTAGGTGGCCATTGGGAGGTGAAGGTTCACAATTGTATCCCTTTCATACCTCCTTTCTCCAAACACTGTTTTAGCCATATTTCAGTGAGTCAGAGCTGTTTTTAATGAATCCCACTTCTGACACCAACTGGCACCCCAGTTTAAAGATTGCTAGAAAAATCCACAGCATATAGTTATACTTATGGATAAGATTTGTTACACTGAAAGGATACAAAGTAAAATCTAAAATGGTAAAGGGCATGTTGGGTGAAGTCTGAAGAAAGCCAGGCACAAGCTTCCAAAATATATATATTTTTTTTCCATTGAAGCCTTATAATAGGATGTGTTTAATTTCTCCAGTAATGAGTTTTGGCAACACATGTGAAGTGTCTACATTCTCATTTGGGACTTAGTGCCCATGGTTTTTAATGGGTGCTGTTTATGTGGGGACCCTGCTATCGGCTGTATGTTGTAATCCTACAAAATTCATATGTTGAAGCCTAAATATAATATGATGGTTTGTAGATAATGGCTTTGGGAGATAAATGAGAGGGTGGAGCCCTCATGAATGGGGTTAGTGCCTGTGATGGTTAATTTTATGTCAATTTTATGGGGTGCCCAGATTAAACACTATTTCTGGATGTGTCTGTAAGGGTGTTTTTAGATGAGATTAGCATTTGAATTGATGGGCTCAATAAAGTTGATTGTCCTCCCCAGTGTGGTGGGCCTCATCCAATCAGTTGAGGATCTGATGAGAACAAAGGACAGAAGGAGGAATTTGCCCTTTTTTCCCACCTCACTTCATAAATTGGGATATCTCATCTTCTCCTGCCCTTGGGCTTGGATTTACACCATTGGCTCCCCTGGTTATCAGGTCTTTAGACTTGGACTGAATTACACCACTGGCTTTTCTGGGTCTCTAGTTTGCAGATGGTAGATTGTGAGGCTTATCAACCTCTATAATTGCATAAGCCAATTCCACATAATAAATCTCCATATTTATAACTTTATCTGCACATTTCCCAATATAAGAAGGGTTCAGAACTCCAAGACATAGATGTCACTCAAAGAGGTTTTTAAAATAATGTCCTATTTCTTTTCCTCAAAATACTTTTAAGCAATAATTAGGTATGACCTGTTCTGGTTTTTCAATCCTCTGGTCATAGATTTATTATTTTGTTTCAAAAATTGGAAGAAAAGACATTCCTGTCTTAAGAGGAATAGAAAAGAAGAGGTTTATCCATAGTTAAGTTTTGTGGACATACCTATCCTGCTTCCCCAATGAAGTTACCATGTTTCTTTCTTTAATAATAGAGACAACCAATAGTGGTTGCATACATTTATAGTTATAACTTTTCTCATCTGGGCCATTGAGAAGCAGGCTTTCTGCATTCTGTAATAAAAATATACAAAGTTACAAGCCTGTATCTCTCACTATTTAAAACAAGAAGTAAAAATGTTGCAAGCTATTTTATGCTTTGGTTATTTTCCCTTAGCAACTTAGAAATTGTGGTACCATGCTCTAGAAACACTGGTCACAATTATTAAGCATGTCTTTTTGCAGCTCAAAGAGTTTTCATATGGGAAATGGCCAAGAATACCTCTGTTTACAAATGCAAGATTTCTCAAAGTTTTCTTGGAATACTGATGGAATGGTGGAGTCTGGACTTCATTATTCTGCTCCTTGCTTCAAACTTGGCTATGCTGCTTAGTAGTAATTTAACCTTGAGCAAGTGATGATCTGTTTGAATCTCACTGTCCTTATCTATAAAATGTGATACAAATCTCCGAGGATACATTTAAAAATATGTACATTTACAAATATGTAAAATATTTGACTTCATACCTGGTACAAAGCAGGGGTTTAATAAATGTATTATTCCCGTTATCTCAAAAAATGCCCACTAAAAGGCAAGGTTATAGTGTTCATAGAAGCTTTTTATAATAGCCCTACCTGAACACAACCCAAATGACAGCCCAAAATGACCATCAGTTAGTAGATTGAATTTTTTAAAATGTGGGATGTTCATACAATGCAGTACTATATAGCATGAACTACCATTACTACAAAAGAATGGATAAATCTCACCAATATAACATTGAATGATATGAAATAATACATTCTGTATAATACCATTGAAACAAAGTTCAAAAACAGGCAAAATTATAGAGTCAGCAGCCAGAAGTCATAACCTTTTGGAGGGAGGATGGATTGGAGGAAGGACAAAGGGAGCCAGCTGAGATGCTGGAAATGTTTTGTCTTCACCTGCATGGTGGTGATCATATATGGGTATATGCATGTAAAAAATTCATCAAACTGAACACTTAATATTTGTACATTATATACATACATGTATATTATTTACATTTATGCAGATATAAATGATACATCAGTAAAAAAAAATGCTCCCTTAATCCCAGGATTTTGTATCAATAGCAGTTTTATTTACTAGGAGTGTATCTAGCAGACAATATAACATGCCAAAAGCTGGCCATCTAGCAGGCTGTAGTCAGTCTGTCCCTTGTAAGTGGCCCCATTTCAGAACTAGCCTGGAGCTGACAGGCATATTATAAGGTCATGCTCCATCATCATTGACAGCTGGAGATGCCATCACATGCCATCGGCAGCAAAGCACAGGGAAAACCAGGCAGTGGACTGTGCTTCCCACCCTTAGGCTTGGAGGCACAAGCCCCAGCAATGGAAGGATTAAAAAGCCTCAATTTAAAAAGACAGGGGGAGGGGAGGGAATGTGGGCTGCACAATTTATAAATAGACATTCCCTGAGGCTGCCTGATGGTGAAGTGGTTGTTTAGTAAATCTTTCTCCCTTAAGAATCCCATTATCGGAGAGCATTTGAAAATACCAGTTTCATTTTGTCTTTTGGGGGAGATCCTGGGTTTCATCAAGTCAGCCCTGTTGGATGATATTGCTCTCTGTCAGATCTAGGGACAGGCCTTCAGTACCTTGAATCACCTATACATGGAGCACAAAGATGATGATGATGATGATGATGATGTGTCTTTTGCCAAATGGATGAGCAGCTTCTGGGGTCACAGCTGGATAGAAGAGAATGAGAGAGGACTCCGAGACCGTCATGGATCACAAGCTGCCAGTTACAGGAAAACCTCCCTGCCCTGCCCAGTGAGTTATTATCAGAGAACCAGGGGAGAGCTGGACTAGGGGAGGGGGGTTTCTATTGGATAATTTTTGAAGAGGCCTTTGGTATAAAATTTTCTTTGGTTAAAAAGCAGTACTTCTAAACCTTTTTATATCCACAAAAATCCCTTTTATTACTTTATCTTGTTCTCCAGGGGAACTGATGTTCATCTATTAGGTAAAGATTTCTTCATTTTTAGTAGTCTAAGATATCTTTAACTACGATTTGGAGCTACTGATAAACCTGAGACAATCCTTCTGAGGGTTAATACAATTCAAGCCAAAGGAAAGACACTTGATATTATAGTTTGTGCAGCATCGGCATCGGTCAATGTGTGATTTCCTATAGTCTTTTTAAAATACTGAAAATAAGCTCCACTATTTGATAACCTCTGAAGAATTGGTGATTCCACATAATAAATTACCACCTTTGATATCCTTTTTCTTCTGGTTCCCCTTTGGTTTCCTGAGGGTAGAAGGAGCCACAATTGTCCTGCCCTCAGCAAGGCAAACACCCAATGTCTAGGGAACAAGATGCAAGCAAGAAAGCCCCTGATGGGGAGTGGGTGGGCCTGACCAGGTGAGGACTCCGCAGCAGGTGCAGACAGTGGTTCTCTTTGTTCAACCGCGGTGCTAGAAGACTCCACTGCAGACACACGTGTCCTCTGCTTCCCAGTTACACAACAATAATACAGCTTTTCTTTTTCATGAGTCACTTAGAATTCCAGCTGTAGAGAATACATTCTCAACCTTCTGCCTCTGTCAACCCCAGAAACAAGTAAGTTTTGGGGTAATGTTATTTTATTTCATTTTTATCCCTAGAGTTCTCAGATGCTTAATGCTTATAAGGGATATAAAAGTGTGTAAGGCAAAATCTCTTTTACTCCCACTGACCAGCAAGTTTTGAGGAATGTCTTTGAGACACAAATATTTGAAAATAGGTTTATTACCAAATGCATACTCAGGGACTAAGGGCAAGTTTCAACAGCTCTTTGAGCTTCAGGTACCTTAACTAAAAAAGAAGAGAGGCTGGACTGGATGATCTCTGGGAACCCTTCTAGTGCTAACTGTCCATGATTCTGTTGTAAATGAACACCTGCATATCACACTCTCATTTTAATCTCTTATGTTCCACTTCGAGTGAGGTATTCACAATGTGTGAACCAGAAGTGTAATTAGTTTCCAGTTTCCAGATAGTGAGGACCAGGGAGAAACAAAGAGAAAAATTCTGATTTGCTATTTATCTCAACAGCCCTTTGGAGCCACTGAAAATAGGAAAACAAAAGAAGACACATGACTTTTAAAATACAGTTTTGTTGAATAAATTTTAGGATTTATTAGACTTTTAATACTGAGATAATCCACCCTTTTTAGAGAATCCATTTTTAGGTTTCAGTGCTGTTTGCCTTAAACTATCAGGGTGGAATTTGTTATGTATGACATTTCTAAAAGATGTCCATATATCTTTTCCTGCTCATACTAGCTTTGAGCATTTGCCTGAATTAACCTCTTCAGATTCTCTTAGTCAACAGTGACTTCCATAATTATCAGACTAACATGCAGAAAGTATGTGCTTATTTAAGGATGCAAAGCATGGAATAAAAATGACCACATTATTCAATAGAACAGGAAGAGCATAAGCACAGAACACAGAGCAGGGGACCCAGAGTGAGGTGAGCAGAGTCCTGGGAAATAGTCAGGGGTCTGAATCTCCACCTCTGGTCACATTATGCCACATATTTATGAAGAGAGCCTGTAGTTGGATACTTAACTGTTCGAATTCTAAAATGTACTCAGGTTTTTCTTACCTTAGAGATATGAGAACCATTAGGTTTTCATTTTTTGTGTGTGTGTTTTGCTTTGAGCTCAATGAATAACTTAAAAAGAAAAGCTTACTCTTAGCCTTATCTCTTTTCTTCTCTCCCCACTGCTCCAATCTAAGTCTCTTCCCTCTCACAACCTATTAGTAACCTGTATCCATCAATATTACATGCGTTGGAAGAGAAGAGTTTTCTCCTTCTTTCCCATTTGAATGTGGTTTCTAATATGGCTTTCAGCCTCGTGATTCCCGCAAAACCATAGCGATGGAGCCTTGATTCATTGAACATATTTATTGAATACCTATTATGTGCCAGACATTATGCAAGCCTCTATAGGCTTATAGGGCACAAGAAGACAAACAAAATCTCTGAGCTTGTGGAACTTCCAGTCTAGTGGAAAATACAATTTGTCAGAAAGAACAAGGTAGACAAGGGGTAGAGCGTGGTCCTTTTTAGAGAACACTATTTTTTAACAAGCCTCAGTTTAATGATCTATGATTGCTGATTTAAAGTGAATTTAAAAATCTAACTTTACTGTCCTGATGTTCTTGGTGGAAAAAAATGAAGTGATATGAAGTCCCTTTCATTAACTGGACTGATGTGCCTTGTACCTCCAGCGCCACAAGTAAAAGTTTCTGTATTCCTTATTTATTCTGCTCTTTGAAAGCGGATTTTAAAGACTTTAGTCTATTCAGCTTTCTAGGCATCTTCTGTACCTTACCATGGTTCTCATACCATCCTTTGGCACAGTTTGGGCCTATGGAAAGGGAGATTATGCTAAATGAAAGGAGCCTTCAAGGAAGAACCAAATTCCCTGGCCGAGGGCTTTGTTAATTCTATTTTTTAATTTATTTTTTAATGTTTATTTACTTTTGAGAGAGAGAGAAAGAGACAGAGTGTGAGTGGGGGAGAGGCAGAGAGAGAGAGGGAGACACAGAATCCCAATCAGGCCCCAGGCTCTGAGCTGTCAGCACAGAGCTGGTCAGTGGGGAGCTTGAACCCAGGAGCTATGAAATCATGACCCAAGCTCAAGTTGGGTGCGTAACCAACTGAGCCACTCCGACACCCCTAGCTTTGCTAATTCTAAATGCTTTCTCAGTGCTTCCTCTATGCTCCAAGGTAGGCACAGTATATGCTTGCCCACATGATATCATTTGAGGGGATATAAAAATAAGCCTCTACCTGTCTGCACCCAAGGGATTAAAAATTTTTTTTCATGTTTATTCATTTTTGAGAGAGAGAGAGAGAGAGAGAACACAAGCAGGGGAGGGGCAGAAAGAAAGAAACTCCGAAGCAGGCTCCATGCTGTCAGCACAGAGTCCGAGGCAGGGCTTGAACCCATGAACCAAGAAATCATGACCTGAGCAGAGGCTGGATGCTCAACGGACTGAGCCACCTATGTGTCCCCATTTTTTTCTTTTTGGAAATAATCACCTTTGGGGCACCTGGGTGGCTCAGCTGGTTAAGCACCCGACTCTTGGTTTCAGCTCAGGTCATGATCTCCCAGTTTCTGAGTTCAAAACCTGTGTGGGGCTCTGTGCTGACATCCCAGAGCCTGCTTGGGATTCTCTCTGTCTGTCCCTCCCCCACGCACACTGTCTCCCTCAAAATAAATAAATAAATAAATAATCTCCTTTAACCATTTTTATATTCTCTCTTCATGGTCTCAGTTTAAAGCAATAGAAGACACTTATAATTTTCATTTTTATCCTGACTGACCTGAGTATGGCTACACACTGTCACCATTACAGTATCTCACCATAGGGGTGGTTTGCCCGCATTTGTTCACTACACGGAGTGGGCGGGGCATGGCCCCCTCAGAGGATTTTTCATAAACCTGAGGAGAAGGAATGCCCTAAAGTTACGTGAGTAACAGTGGTTTCTTGTTTTTCAGGTTAAATTTATATTTAATTTCAACAGGAGACAATGCCTTAATCCCAAAGATGAAACTAGTGATAGAGTTTCAGGCAACAGTGACAACTCTACGCTCTATGGATTTGTTTTCTATTTTCTACTGGATGTAGAGGAGTCGCTGGAAGGGCAGCAGAGTAGAGAAGGATGAAGGGAGGGCTCCAGAGGCAGCCACCCAGGGTCGGCCACTAGCAGCGTAACTGACTGAGTTACCTACGTCTCTCTGACCATATGTAAAGGTGACTGATGGGAACAGCATATGCCTCATAAGGGTGTAGGGAAGATTCAATAAGTAATTTATATAATGTAATTAGGACATTGCCTGGTACCTAATGAGCACCTATGCTTCTTATTATTATGTGCTGGAAGTGTTGAAAATTGGGAATTTTTTTCCAGATGATGCTTTAGTTAAGTACTGCAAAAAGTTCTAGAGTCTTTCATTTTGCCTTTCCCTCATTGTCTCTAATGTTTCTCTTTCTCTCTTATATCACAATGGGAAGACAGTAGGTAATTTTATACTGGTGGCTGGCATTTGGCATATGTTCTGTTTATGGACTGATGTCGCCCCCTCCCCCTGCTAACCCTCCAAAATTCATATGCTGAAGTCCTAACCCCGAATGTGATGGTATTTGGAGATGAGGCCTTTGGAAGTAATTAGGTGTAGATGAGCTCATGAGGTGAGATGGGATTACTACTCTTATAAGAAGAGACACCATAAAGCTTGCCCTTTCTCTTTCTCTCCACCTGCATGCATAAGTCTTAGGCGAGACATTTAGCTGACCTAAGATTCATTTTCCTCATCTGTAAAAGGGAAGGATGATTCCCTCCCAGGATTTGTTCTGAGGTCAGAGGTCAAGGACATGGTCCCCAGAGAGTGTGGTACTCTGGTACTGTGCACTACGACTTAACATGGGTCTTATTATCCCAGCACCTGGAACTTTCTCCTCATTGTTTCTCATTTTGGTGTTAATGGGTGTCTCAGGGGCTTGTATTTACACAGACAGCAGGAGGGGTACAAGTGAAGGGTGATTGCAATTAAAGCCAAGACAAAGAATATCAAGTAGTTAAGCTCTCCAGAGGAAAATTTTACATAACCAATGTCTTTTTATTTATTTATTATTATAATTTTTAAAGATTTTATTTTAAGTAATCTCTTCACCCAACGTGGGGCTCAAACTCACAATCCTGAGATCCAGAGTTACACGCTCCACGGACTGAGCCAGCCAGGTGCCCCACCGATTTCTTATCAATTAA